TATAAAAAGAAAAGAATAATCACATGCATATTTTAAAAAATATTTACTTATAAAATAATTTTCAGCATCTTAGATTTCCTTTGACTCTCCAAATAATTAAACTTATGAAAGTTGTATAAAAGATTTGTTCTATTATTTCATTTATCTGTCAGGAGAAATACGTATACACAGGATATAATGGAGAAGAAAAGTTTTCTGGAATTCTAAGTTATAAGAAATGTTTTAAAAGGTCTATTAAGTGTAAAAAAGCAGCTTGAAAAAATAAACCTTGACATACTAACTAAAACATACGGTTAAGTATTTAATATAAACATTATAGAGGTGAAAAATCTTCATTGCACAGCCAATAAAGACTGAATCTTTTAATGTGGGTTAAAATATGTTCACTGTCACTCATCTATATTTTTTCCTTATTGTATTGGAATTTAGAAACCATAACTTAAAAGGTAACCTAAATTTGAAAGAAATATTTTTATGCTTTTTATTTATTAATCATAAGTTGCTATAAATTTGGAAGTTTTGAGTTTTTTGCATAATAAATATATTTGCTTTTTTTTTTCCAGTTGTATTAAGGAATAATTGACATACATCACTGTAAAATCTTAACATAAAATATTGTGATTTGATTTACATGTATTGTGAAATGATGAACATAATAGTTTCAACATTCATCATCTCATACAGATACAATAAAATGAAAATAACAAAATTCTCCTTGTGATGAGAACTCTTAGGATCAACTCTCTTTACGGCTTTCTTATCTATCTTTCAGCAGCGTTAACTATACTTTGATATTTTATCCCTAGTCTTTATTTATCTTATAACTGGAAGTTTCTACCTTTTGTTTGAAACATATTTTAAACCTATGCCTCCAACAGTCAATGCTTGAGCTGAGCATTTCAGAATATGACATAATACAACTAATCAGTGATTTTTATCTTGATTCCATTTGACAAGGCTGCCTAATGCTGATTTCTTCAAAAGTCAAAGATAATTCACTCACAAAAAAAAGCCACAAAACCTTAAACATAATTATTTTTTCTTGTATTTATGTATAGAAATATCACGAAAATATTTTGGTACATCTTATAATTGTGTCAATATTATATCTAAAATGAATGATTTCTTTTAAGAATCCATAGATACAGAAGTATTAGATTTGCCTTTTCAGTTTACGGAACAAATTCTTCTATAATGACCTGAAATAATTATTGAAGGATAATATGATTAAGCAATGTAAAAATCAGTTGCTTGTCAGTTATTTTTACATATTTGTATCCTATAAATTACTATAATCCCATTTATATTTAATAAAACATTGACATAAAATCATGTAAGTTTATTTTATGTGCAAAATCATATATAGTGTGCTGAATGACACAGAGAAGGCATGAAACAGTAACAGTGGCTTATTTTCTGAAGCAATCTTGACACTAATGCTAAATTACAACTCAGAAACATCTAGCATTTTTACCTTTATGAGAAAAGGCTTTTTACATATTTAACATAATTCCAGGGAAAATAAACTGGAATTATGTATAAAGATGCATGCAGTGTAACCAAAGGGCGTTTATATTCCCCTGTAGAATACTTACGATGATTTTATTGCCATTTTGTGTCATTTTCTAAAGGATATAAAATACAGTCAGTAAACAAACTAGACTTTGGATTTAAGGTGACAGCTGCTACTTCAGAAGCAATATTCAGATATTTAATCTTAAGAACATTGAATGTTCTTTATTTTTACAACCAAGTAAAGTATACTTTCGCAAAAATGAAAGGACGGTGTGCTTTGAGTTATAATTTTCACAGGGGTTGTGATCAGCACAGCCACCACTGTTGACCCCCCATCTTCACTCAATCCTGGAAAATTAATCCAAATGTCAGCCCTTATCTAACTGTTTGAGGAAATCAACATCTGTGCTCTACTTTTTCAAAATGCAAACTTCCTTTCTCTTAAATAATATTGATTTGATCTATCATTTACTCTGAGTGACATATTGCTTCTAGTTCTATTTTTTTGTTGTTGCTGTTTCTATTTTTTTCTAGCTCTATTTTTGAAATCTACAATTGTAACCTAATGTTGAGACTCTTTACCCCTAGTTCAGGTACAGCTATCTGAATTTTGTTGGAGAAAATTTCATTTCACTATGGAGCCATAAAGAATTCACCTGGGTCTCCAATATTGCTGTCAGTGAGTTAATGCTATGCACACAAATGTCCTGTGTTCAGCTTAGCAAATTGAAACCAAATCTGTCTGAATGTTGTATCTACTTTATTATTCCTCTTCCTCAGCCCCCTTACCATCTTTATAATGACCATGCACTAAAGACTGATCAACACGTGTTTTTGGGAGCTGAGTAAAACCCTTCTACCAGTCAGATGGCAAATAAAGTCAACTCTGTTCTTCTAAATAGACACTTGAGGGTATATCCACCCTTATTAGTGGTCAATTTGCTATCTCTTTCTTAAGGCCTGTTTATCACAATTTCTAAGAAATCTAGGGGCTTTTTTACACCGAAGAGGGCCAGTCCTGCTCCAAGCACAAGACAGAAGGAACTCACATGCGCTGTCTTCATGGCCACGGGTGTTTTTGTTGACCACCAGCTCCATACATCCACATGGCCTGAACTATCCTTGTCTTTCTCAGCAGAAATTCTTTGCTGGTCACACTGCCTGGAAATGCCCAAGCTTGCACTCTATTCATTCACAATCATACGTGTGTAACATTTTGCTGGTGGGGGCCTGAGCAGTTAGTCAAGTTCGTGGTGGCTTTGGCCTCAGTCACATAATGTGCCCGATCTAGTTTCCCCCCAAAAAAGTTGATTGTGTTTTTGCCATTTTTTAAATTGCTTTTATGAATGAGTAAAATTTGGAGTTTCATGGGGCACTTTCATACAGTAATTGGAAAGTGAATAGTCTAACACAACACTTAACTGAGAAGTGACAACAAACAAGTTTCTTTACTGACTATAATTAAGGATATATTGTATTTTTATTCCTTCTTTCCCAACCCATCAGGGCAAAGTACTATTTGTTAATCTGGCATCTACTCACATAGACATACAGATCATTTTCTACAAGTACATTTTTGATATATTATGGTGGCAGCTGTGATGAGGATGAGGGGAATAGTTTAAAGTTTAGAAGCAAGTTTAAAAAACCAGTAGGACACAGAAGGCCACATGCTCTTGGTCCATGGCCCTCTGCATCAGGATAGAGAAACCCTTCCAGGTAATTAGTCCAGATGGTAACTGGGGAAGTTCCTCAGATCTTGGGCAAATAAAACCATGCCTGGTGTCATGATTCTCCTTACCCACACTCTATGGACATTTTAGGAATCCCTGTTAATTAAGACATATTACTGAGTGAAAAAAAAATCCAATAATTTATTTCCTAGAGGATAAAGTAATGATTGAAGTTGTTACTCTTGAATCAAACTCTCAATAACAAAGAAAGATTGTGAATAGCAAGAAACTTAGGAGAAAGAGAACTTGTCATTTTGAAACTCCTCATTCGGGTGAATGCCACCCCACTTAGTATGAGGAAGGTGTATCTCAGAAATTCCGGGAACTACTGGCATGATCCATCATACGAGGATCTAAAAGGGAAGATATCTCGAGATGATGGACCAAGCTCAGATGATGACTCTGAGTTGAACTTTTTAGAGAGTCTTGATAAGAAAGAAGATGAAATAAATGCTGCTGTGGCACGGCATATTTCCCAATAAATTTAGATTAAAAAAAAAGTGGACTGAGACGAGAAAAGAAAGGGATATAGTGAAGAATTAAAAAAGAGAGAGGTGGTTAGGAAGAACGACAGGAAGAGAATTCCTTGGTGGTCCAGGGGTTAGGATTTGGCTCTTGCACTGCTGGGACTTGGGTTCAATCCTTGGTCGGGGAACTAAGATCCCACGTCTCACAGCAGCCCTGGCCCCCACCCCTGCCCAATAGTGGATCTAAGAAAAAGAATGACAGGGAAGCAATAACGGAGAACAACTTCATGTAACAGTGGGTGGGGTGGACTCTAAGGAAACCTGACGAGAGAGATTCAACAAGAGAAGAAATGAAGGTGTCCAGTTTTCCTCAATATTATTTAGCTGTAGACGTCAAATATCTAATCTATTTCTGCTTAATCACAAAAGGCTTGTTATTTACCCCACATGAGTGGGAATTACAGTGGATGTTCTCTTCTGTATCCAGTGACCTGCATTCAGCTTGCCAGTGTTGACATAGATGGGGTCCCTGCCTTTCTCATCAGGGTGGCCTTCAGTTCAAAAGGCCGTAAGTTCTGGGGAAAACAGTCCTTCAGCAGAATTCTTGGAAAAGCTACATACGTTCAAGATGCAGGGAAGACAGATGAAGTCAGTGAAACTGATGGTTATTATAAACAGCCCAGAAGTAAACCCAAACTGTGTGTGACAAGTGAAACAGGATGTTGGCATGGGCGCTAGTTGCGCTCAACGATAATTAGTCTTCTGTATACAGAAAGCTTCTCCAGGGAGAATGAGTTCCTACTCAAAGGAATGTGGTCCTGTGTTTTCCCCTGATGCTTTTGTTTTCTCTCCATTTCATCACACAACAATTATTAAAAGCAAAAAAAGAAAACCCAGCCTTGCACTTTATTTTGACCATTTTGGTTCCTGTAGGATTAGGATAATTCACTTTTCACATGTGTTTAGATTGCTGACTATAACCCTGTGTTCTGTGTTACTAAATATTATATAAATGCCTATTTATTTATATTTTTGGTGCATTATAAAATTATTGTCAAAGTCAGAGACAAATGGAACCAAATCATAAAACCTAAATTGAAGGCTCCTGTTAAAATGTGGAATTAAGTTGACAAAAATGGCATTTCCAAGTTGCTTTTTTTTTTCCGCCCCCCACCCCCCAATGGGAAAAATTGCGGTAAAAAAATCACAGCTTTTATTCATTCTGCCTAAACATTTCTTTGAAATGTGGTAAACTAACATATGCCATCTTGTCACCACTTTTCAGGTGTTTGGTGATATCGGTGGTTTAACGATTATCCCCAGTGAACTGGTCACAGCTATTCAGAAACATCTAAGTGAAATAGACAGTACACAGGGAGACTCTCCGGATATTAAATCAAGAGAAATGAAAGAAATTATTGAAAATAAAACAGGTATTTGCCTCTGATTAAATATTTGCTCACTGCTATACGTGAGGGCCTCAACTAAGTGCTTTCTTGTTGCTTTCTTAAAGTTCCGCAGTGGTGCGTAAGTCATTGTGAGACTATGTTCAGTTTCCTTTCCAGTCTACTTCCTTATTATATGCGCTTTACTGAAAGTCAGTAATCGGTATTGGGAACAAAAGCTCGATGTCATGATCATCCCAAACATGTTTTCAGAGAGCACAGAATCCTGCCAGTCTTCATCAGCTTAGAAAGAGCTACGTGACTACTGCAGAGTTTGAAGAGGGACAGACATCATTTTCCATGCTGTTCTACAGAAGTGTGTTCTTTCATGCAGGGAATAAGTGGGCTGGCTAGAAGAGGATATAGCCAAGTCTAAATAAATCCCCTTTGTCCTTCACTTAGCATAAAATTTTCACTTTTTTTTTTTCCCTAGGAGAAGCTTGAAGGGAAAAAAAAAAAGAAAATTACATAAGAATAAAAAAAACAAGTCACTTAAATGAGTTGTTTCGCAGAGCCTATATCTTGTATTCTGAGATACTAAAAAAGAACCCCAAACTGGCTGCTTCAGATGTTGGCTCCTTATTTTCCTTCCTGAGGTCTTCTCAGCTCTTTCTAAGAGGATCAAAGTAGCAAAGCCCTCTTGCCAGTTCTTTATATTATTCCTTTTCCTCTTCACTCCCTTGCTTTTCTCTTTTCAACTGGAGGTTTGGAATGAGATTTAGGATCACAAATGGACAATGAACTATCAGAGAGTGGATGGGTTATAGAAAATCCTGCACCTTTCAAAATCTTTTGTCATTTCTATAAAGCAATAATACAGATGACACCCAGGTCCTCTGATCTTTCTCTGTGTTTTTATTAGTTGGAGTATAGTTCTTTACAATGTTTGCTAGTTTCTACTGTACAGCAAAGTGAATCAGCTGTATATATGTGTGTGTGTGGGGGGTGTGTGTATGTGTAGCCCCTCCCTCTTGGACCTCCCTCCCAGGACCCTCCCCCATCTCACCCCTCTAGTCACCACAGAGCTCTGAACTGAGTTCCTTGTGCCACACAGCACGCTTCCATAAGCGCTCTCTTTTACACGTGGTAGTGTATATATGTAAATCCCATCTCCCAGTTCATCCCACTCCCCTTTTCCCCCCACCTGTGTCCACATATCTGCCAACATCTGTGTCTATTCCTGCCCTGCAGATAGGCTCATCTGTACTATTTCTCTTGATTCCACATCCATGTGTTAAGACACAATATTTGTTCTTCTCCTTTTGACTTCACTTTGGATTAACAAACCCTAGGTCCACCCACATCTCTACAAATGACCCAGTTTTGTTCCTTTTCATGGCTGAATGATATTCCGTTGTATGCATGTACCACATCTTCTTTATGCAGTCAGCTGTCAATGGGTATGTAGGTTCCTTCCATGTCCTAGCTTTTGGAAATAGTGCTGCATTTTGCAGGAAGAGTGAGCAGGTGTTTTGAGAGTCACCTCTCTCAAACAGAAAACTGTGTGAATTAGAGAGGTCAAGTTTCATACCTATAATTGGGGAACATGAACACGTCTGATCCTGGTGACTTTTCAACCCCTATCTTTGATTATTGTCTAGCTATGAGCATATCTTCAATCTTACATAAGGCATTTACATTAAGGATTACACTAGATGTTCCCTCTATTGGCAGAAATTAGCATATGCATATACTGTCTATATTTTTCATCCTATTACTGAAGGCAGATCAACATTTAATAATGCCTCTTTCAATATGAGTATCAGAGTCTATGACTTCTTGACTTCCTTACCTCCACTCCTGCTCATAGCTGTGGTTACCAACTGCCTACTTCCACTTTCACTTAATAGCTTTCTATTCTAATGATATGCTTTATCCCCACTGGAGCATGAATTAGCAGTGTGGAGAATTTTCCAAATGCATATTCCTATTAACAGAACTTAGAACAACTCTTGGCCCTATGAAGGGCTGCAGTAAATGTTTGCTGTTAGGAAGATAGTGTGAAGGAGAAATGGGGGAGGATTAGGGCCAGGTCTTTACTATGTTATCATTTATAGTGTAACTAAGAAGCTCTCCTGGCCCCAAAAAAGTACAGCCAGGTACAGTAAGTTCTGTGATGGACCTGTATCAGTACAAAATATACTGAGAAGAAATAAATGTATAGATAAGCAGATTTCTGCATCTTCAACTGTATTTCATCCAATTATTAGGACAAGTGGATAAAGCAGATGTAGTTGAACAAGTGATAAGGTAATTTTTGTTTTCACTGAACCATCATTTGCTTAGCTGAATTAATAAAAGTACCTGTGGCACAGTGGTAAAGAATCCACCTGTCAATGCAGGAGACTAAAGAGACTTGGGTTTGATCCCTGGGTCAGGAAGATCCCCTGGAATAGGAAGTGGCAACCCACTCCAGTATTCTTGCCTGGAAAATTCCACAGACAGAGGAGTCTGGTGGGCTACAGTCCATGGGTTGCAAAGAGTTGGACATGACTCTTTGCATAGATTTATTTTATAGGTCTGTCACTTTTTTTTTTTTTTTTGCACTCCATGGCATGCAGGATCTTAGTTCCTGGACCTAGGATTGAACTCGTTACTCCCTGCAGTGGAAGCACAGAGTCTTAACCACTGGACCGCCAGGGAATTCCCATCCCTTTTATTATTTATATGGTTTCTCACTAAAATGTAAGCTCTCTGCTTTAATTAGTGGTACCCTCTGAAGTCCTCAGCACTGTTCTTTGAGCTAGTAAGTGCTCAGTCAATTTTCATTGTATGGAAGTGTAAACTGATAAGCCAAGTTTCGCTTCACTTTATTTTGAAGTGTACAACAGTGTGCTGAATGAACAATGCACAGATGAGTAACCAATTGATAACTTTTCTTCTCGTGTCTCCTTTAGGAATTGGTGGTCCCAATGAAGAGATGGGTGTAGAGAAGGAAGCAATCTTTTCTCACTCCTGAAGGGTGCTCGAGGCCACAGCGCATTTCCTAATCCAAACCGTCTAATACAACATCGCTGCAAAGCAAGAGTTATTCAGTATTTTAAAGTCAAGTGTTCAGTCTTTTGTTGCCCGAGTTGTTTGATAACTGTTTTCCTTGCCATTGAACTGATCTTCCTGAGCATTAAGTGTTTTATATACTAGCTTCAACATACGAGTTAATCTAGCACTTTCATTAACGTTTTGTGTGTACGTGTGGTGGGTGGAGATTAACTACCATGTTTTTTCAAGGGTTCTTTCTTGTTGAAAAGGCCCACTTTAATGTTCATGGGCTCATGCTATAACTTAGCTCAACACTGAAATAAGATTTGAGTGCTGTCTTATCTCTGAAGTGAATACCCCATTTGCATTGGTATTGAAACAGCCTATTTAATTTAGATTTTTTTTTTTATGTACACACATGGTTAGTTTCTTAATAGAAAAATAAGTAAAAGGAAAAAAAGGACCTTTTTATTCTTATAATCAAGTCCTCTCATTTCTGTGGCATTTTATGAACTCCAAAAAATGCCATGGATAAGGAGAGAAAGGAGTGGTCTTTGTTCCTAGATGCTCTATAAGAACCGAGTTCTAACATGAGCATCTTCACTACAATGTTCTCTTAGCAGTGTACACATATTTATACACTATGCAGAGTGTTACTTCAAAATTCAAGATAGGTTTCTAGGGGACTATATATATCTATCAATTAAGCTATTTTTCTCAGTAACTTGAGGACAATTACAGTGCTAATAATGATTTTGTAGGAATCTACTAGTAAAATAAGCTTTGCTTTATCTGTAAACTCATGCATATTTCTTCCAATTATTTCACTGATAACTTCTTTTCTAATATTGCAGTTACTCACTGACGTGTGTCACTCACATTGATATTTTACCTCACTTACAGCTAATACCCAACACAAGCTATGGTTATAATTGAAAACAGTAAATAAAAAATACTTCTAATAGATCATTTTTGCTAGTACCCACTGTGTTCTCACTGCTCAAATAGATTATCCACTTGAAATTAAATTCTATTAAGGAATAAAAATATAAATAAGAAGGAATTAAACATTTAAATGCTTGCTGTAAATTTAAAAGTGAGATCTGTTCAGTTTTCCTTATATTAAGCTCAGTGACAATAGATAGATTACACTAAGTGTCAGTTAAGCAAGTAGATGAAAAATGAGTGATTTTCGTCCTTCAGTTAAATATGGTGCTAAGTGGTATGCACCAGCATTAAAAGCAAATTACTTATCACTTCAACAATCACAGCATGAGAGCATTCTATTGAAAGCTGCATTTCCAGTCTTTCTTGGTCCTCAGTTTTATTAAATAAATCAACTGATAATGGTTGGATAAGCAGAAGAAAAAGCCTGGATGGCATTATGACATTTCCATTTTCTAAGCGCCTATTCGAGATATCTCTAAAATGGCCTTTTGTAATCGCCAAGAATTCACAGTCACAACTACATACAAACCCACCCACACCCATACCCGCACCCACACCTCACACACACTATATAATCACTCTAAACTCTAGTCTTGTCTGACTTTTTGTGACCCCATGGACTATACAGTCCATGGAATTCTCCAGGTCAGAACACTGGGGTGGGTAGCCTTTCCCTTCTCCAGGGTATCTTCCCAACCCAGGGATTGAACCCAGGTCTCCCGCATTGCAGGCGGATTCTTTACCAGCTGAGTCACAAGGGAAGCCCACACACACACTATATTTATATATAATGTCATCTGGTCCCATTATCTATGTGAAACACAGATTCCTTCTTCTACATCACTTCCAGTTGGCCTTCTTGCTTAATCTTAGACACTTCGAGGCATAGGAGCGGCACCACTGCAAGTGAGAACTCCCATTGCTCCCACTACAAGGAATTCCTTCCAGTAGCTTGAACATAGCAGTTAGCGGATTTGAGATCCTTGTGAGGACCTGCCAATTAGAACAGCTCAGAGCCTTGGCAAATGATACGTCTTCACTAAATTGTAGTTGACTGAGTGAAATCAAGAAAGCCTCATCTTTTTAAAAATGTGTAACTTATTTTATTTTGAATACAGTGCATTCACACATGTTTTCCTCTTGGTGACTGAGGAGCAGTTGGGGATGTACTCAAGAGTGAGGAAGGCAGCCCTGGGTGCTCCCTTCAGGGATCCATGAGATGCCGCACTATCTCACACAGACAGGCAGTGTACCAAGGTTGGAAGTTGTTTAGTTTGCTTTAGTATATGTTTTGGCGTGTAACAATTCATTTTTTTGTAGCTTAATCTGTAAAGTATGTTTGTTGTCTTAAAACGTGGTATATTAAGTTGTTTATCATTTCTCCTATTTGGAAATGCCACTTTTATCATGTAATAAGCACTTACAATTACACACTGTTTTCCTGGGACTTGTTGTTGCTGCATTGATTTATTGCATATTTTCACATTAGTATTAGACTCCGCTAATTAAAGTAGCTCATAGGTCTATGTTAATCAGGGCCATCCTATGATTAAATTGCACACTGCTAAGAAAGACTTATGGGCAACATGGGCAGAATGAGAATTTAGAGAAAAGAATGCAAATGAAAAGGACACAACCTATGTAGTGGATATTTAGAGAATACATTAATTTTTTTAAAATTTAGTATATTTGGAATTTTTCATAATAATAATAAATTAAGATGAGCAATGATGCACACTAGAAAGAGGTAATACCAGATGTGATATTAAGTGTGAAAACAGCTCTACTTGATAGAGAAACTATAAACACCAACGTAAATTATTCTATGTTTAAAATGGATAACGAACAAGGACCTCTTGTATAGCACATGAGACTCTGCTCAGTGTTATGTGCTAGCCTGAATGGAGGATGATTTGGGGGATAACAGATACATGTACACGTATGGTTGAGTCCTTTAGCTGTTCGCCTGAAACCAACACAACAGTGTTCATCGGCTTTACCCCAACACAAAATAAAAAGTGTAAAGTCTGGATAAAAGCCCATAAATTATTAAGTACCCCATACATCCAATATATGCTGATGGAGCAGAGACAGAACGGTAGATATTTTGATTAAAAAAAAAAGATGTGCTTTGAAAATTGCGAATCACTCTATTGTTGCACAGCTGAAACTTATATAATATTGTAAATCAACTATATCGTAATTAAAAAGAAAAAAGGAGCAATCACTGATTCAGAGCCATTCTGAGACCCCATAAGCAGTTAGAAAAGTCGGCTCCTTTGGTTGTAGGAAATGTAGTGATCAGCCTTCAGTTCTGCCTTGTGAGGCAGATTCCCCCAGCAGACTCTTCTCCCTGACTCCTGGCTGTCTTCTGAGAGCCCCTGCCTCTGATATTATCCTCTTTAGTTGTTTCTGAAGTGTCCTTAAATTATGACCTTCTTGAAGTCTGAGCAGCTTTATCAAACTGCTTCCTGATCCTTGGTGCCTCAAAGTTATTTAAAGTCTAAGACAATCACAGGTTGTTTTTTTTTTTTTTATTTTTTTTTAAGGTTAGTGCTCCTTTTGGCAGTACAACAGTCTCAGAAACTTGGGCAGCATTTTTTATTTATTTGATTCCAGTCAGGTTCATATGCCAATGATCATACTCACAGTTCTTTTTGAGACATGACTTAATTACAGATGTTCTGAGTTTATTAAGCACTGGTGAGAAAGCTATGTCTTTTTCCTGAGCCATAGTTGCCTACCCTCATAATCCATCCAGACATAGTCACAATGGGATGAGGGGGTTACTGTTGATTTTATCCTTGTCAAAAGACTTTCTTTGTGCAAAGGCGCCCTCAAGTTCAGTTTGTGCTGGTAGGTGATAAAAAGCAGTTCTCACCTCTTCTCACCCTAAAAACTCTTCCTCTCCCTTCATCCCCTTTCATTTCTGTTTGCTAATCAGCAAATTTTTTAAGCTCATATCTTTTCGTAGAACACTGTCTGATGCAGCCAGCAGTCTCCAACACATGCTACTACTGTTTTATTTATTTATTTATTTTTACATCTTCCCAGATCCTAGATTATAAGCTCATTATATATATTGCAACTTCCAAGTTATTGCTGGAAACGATTGTTAGTTTAACAGAGAAGGGTTATTTCTTGTACCTGCTGTATCTCCGTCACAGGTCCCTCAGGCACCCTGTACAACATTGGCGTTATTCTCACTCCGTGCCCAGGTTGATCACGGTATAACCCTCTAGAACACTGCTGGTTGTCATAGCAGAAGAAAAAGAACATGAAGTAGCATGACCGGCTCTTAAACCTTCCAGGAGGATGGGAGCCATGTCCCTGCCACCCACAGGATCAAAGCAAGCAACAGTCACAAAATGATGGAGATGCTACCACGGGGGCTGATTCAGATGTAAAAAATTATATTGACCCTTATGGCTCCTCTTGGCGCTATATCAACCGTTCAGTACCTCTATCGAATATACTTTGAAAATCAACCCAGAATCTGGCTCATCATCACCTAATTCTCTCCCACCACCCCAGTTTGAGCACTGTGATCGCTCTCTTGGATTTCTGCAGTAGTCTCCTGCTGATTTCCCTGCCTCAATCCTCACTGCACTGTGATCCATTCTCAGTGTACTAACTAATTTGTCGTTGTCGTTTAGTCGCTCAGTCGTGTCCACCTATTTTCTGACCCCTTGGACTGTAGCCCACCAGGTTCCTCTCTCCATAGGATTTCTCAGGTAAGAATACTGTTGTGAGTTGCCATTTCCTCTCCCAGGGGCTCTTCCCAGCCCAGGGACAAAACCCACGTCTCCTATGATCCTTTAAAGACGAGTCAGATCCTGTGACTCCCTTTTTCAAACTCCCCATTTATCAGCATTAAAGGCAGAGTTCTCAAGATGATCTCAAGTCATCACCTCCTTGTCTCAATCATACATATTCCCACCTGTATTCATTATGTTCTGTCATTTTGATTGTTTTCTATTTCTTAAAAAATACCTGTTTTCTCAGTCTGGAAGGTCATTCCAGGCTTTCTGTTAAATCTGATATCTACACTTAAATTCCTCCAGAGGCCCGTGTGATTAACTCTTTTGCCTCTTTCTAGTCTTGGCTCACATAACACTTTCATAATGGAAGAAAAGCATTACCACTCTACTATAAAATTGCCTCTCACAATTGTCCACTTGAAAGCCTTCTAGATCTGATGATATTTTCCCTTTAGTCTGATAAGCCCCCAAATCTTGTATCATTTATTATGAAGGCCGACCACAAAAAGAAGCTTTTAAAAGTGTTTGCTCACAAAAATTCTCTTTAGGAGAAATTTTTATATCAGCTGCCAGGGGAAATATGTGCAGGTGAAGTATAAGAAAAACAGAACAAAAACAAGCAAAGCCCAACTTCATTATGAGTCATGAGACAAGTTTTTAACAAATAATCTTGGAAGGAATCCTTAAATACTTTTATTTAAGAGAGCATTGGTGGTTCTCGGAAATTTGTATTTTAAAAAGCAATGAGTGTTATTATGATAAACTTCCAGGTACCCGCTAATATAGATAACATGAACAATAAAATATATCAGGATAATTTACATAGAAGAATGTTAATGTTTTATAATGCCAACTTAAAATACGTTTTCCTATGCTCATGGACACTAATAAACATATATTATATAATCAGATTACTCTACAAACAAGAAAAATAACTACTAAATCATACAAAACAGAAGTTGTGCAACACATATGCAGATAATAATACAAAAATTTTTTAATTATGCAAGTTTATATTAAAAGGATATATGCTGAAGAAATTTTTTAGTTACTTGTGGGCCAAAGAGAAAATAAAAATTGCAACCCTAAGTTATTAAGAAGTTAATGATAATGACAAAATTAGAACACTATTCATGAAAACATATCAGATATGGCCAAGGCTATTTTCAGAAAGAAATACTTTTAACATTTAAACAAATTGAGAAGCTAGAAAAAAATATGAAAAATAATAGATTTTCCAAAGACGAAAGTCACCCAGAAAGCAGGAGCATTAATATTAATTTTTTTGAGAGACAAAGCCTAGTAGTAGTTTTCTTTTCTGTTAAGATTGGAAAAAAAAAAAAGAGAAAAATTGAAAACATATAATATTAGGAGTCAGAGAAGTGTGATCTAACCACAGATAAAGAAGAGGTTAAAATACAAGCTTTAAGAGAAAGCCTAAAGGAGACACAAGCAAAGATAAGAATTTGATGTTTGATTAGGAGCTTTTGTCTGGATCAATATACATTTGATTTTATCTATCTATCTATAGATGCACACTGGGTATCTGGTATTTTATCAGATATATGTATAAAATCATCTATGTCTATGTATAACTGTATTATTAAGTGTCTGGTACACAACCAATTTAAATATTTATGCTCAGGATACTGTACATCATTTTTAAGGTATTGGTGGTTCTATTTTGCATTTTAGAGAACTTTTATTGTATAGTCAAGTATCCCTTTTTTTTTTTTTTTCCCTTGTGTCTGGTCCCATTTTCTACACTAAGAAGTGAAGTGAAGTGAAAGTCGCTCAGTTGTGTCTGACTCTTTGCGACCCCTATACAGTCCATGGAATTCTCTAGGCCAGAATACTGGAGAGGGTAGCCTTACTCGTCTCCAGGG